TTTTTTTTTTTTTTTTTTTTTTTTTTTTGGTGTTTTCAGACAGGGACATGCTACATAATTCAGGCTGGCCTTGAACTCACTATGTAGCCTCGGCTGGGCTTGAACTCATGGGGATCTTCCATGCACCACCATGCCCAGCTCTAATGTTACGTTATCTTATCACAATTTAAAACTGAAACGTTTTTGCCAGGCGTGGTGTTGCATACCTGTAACCCTAATTAATACCTGGTAGGCTGAGACAGGATAGCTGCTAGCTCAAGGCTGGCCTAGGCCACATAGCAAGACTCTGTCTCAAAACAAAACAAAAATTAATAAACAAACTAAACATTTTTTTTTTTGGTACTGGGGATCAAACTTGGGCCCTTGCACTTGCGAGGCAGGCAGCAGATAAACTAAACATTTTTTATAAAAGGCCAGACATGCCTGGCATGACAGTATATGGCTCAGAATTCCAGCATTCAAGAAACTGGGAGGGCCAGGATTTAGCTCAGTGGTGCCCTGCCTGCCTGGAAGTGCAAGGTCCTGAGTTCAATCCCTGGTACTGAGGAGAAAAAACAAAGAAACTGGGGCAGGAGGATCAGCACAAGTTTGAGGCCAGCCCGGGCACACAGTGAGTTCAAGACTAGCCTGAACTGCATAACAAGACAGTCTTTTTTAGAAAGTTGGGTGGGTGATGGCTCACACCTGTAATCCCAACACTCTGGAGGCTGAGGCAAGATGATAACAACTTCAAGCCCAGGCTGGAAACTTAACAAGACCCTGTCTCAAACTAAATAAAAAATTAAATTTAAAAAAATATTAAATAGGGCGGGGATTTAGCTCAGTGGTTCTGCCACCTGCCTCTCAAGCGCAAGGACCCGAGTTCAATGCCCGGTACCCCCCACCAAAAAAATATATATATAATAATTTTTAAAAGCTCAATGAAAAGGCCTTGGCTTTAATCCTAAATACCACACACACACAAATAACAAATAAAAATTTTAGCTGCAATCCCAGCACTCAGGAGGCTGATTCAGGAAGATTACCTGGAGTTTGAGGCCAGTCTGGGCTACATAGTGAGTTCAAGGCCAGCCTGAACTACACAGCAAAAAAGAAGAAAAAGCATTTAAGAAACAATAAATGAGGGGCTGGAGATGTAGTTCAGTGGCGCTCTACCTGCCTGGCAAGTGCAAGGTCCTGAGTTCGATCCCCAGTACAAGGAAGGCAGGCAGGCAGACAAACCACCACGACTGGGTGGAGAAGAAAAGCACCTAAGTATCTTGAGAAACCAAGTCAAAGAATCAACTTTTTGTTTGTACTGAATCAACTTTTTGTTTGTGAGGCAGATGGTGGCACCACTGAGCTAAATCCCTGGCCCTACCCAAAGTATGCTGTGGTACAAGCAGCATATGGTCTGTTTGATGATTTCACCCTATGTAACGTGACCGCCATTAAAATCCCACAGCCACTGGGCGCAGAGGAGCATTCCTGTGGTCCCAGCACTCTGGGAGGCTGAGGCAGAAGGACCAAAATTCTGAGCCCAGGCTAGACAACTCAGGTATTTCAACCACCGACTGGGAGGTTTCAGACCCTACTCTCAGTCCACACGGCAGCGAGGCAGGTGGACAATCAGCCAGGACAGGGACAGTGCCAGCACCCAGCTGACCAGACAGCCCTCCCTACAGCAGAATCCAATTCTCTCAGCACACGCAGGGAGCCCTCAGGACTAGCACAGGAAAAAGCAGGACCACAAGAGTGCTACACATCAGCTGGGCACAGTGGCACACACCTGTCATTCCAGTGCTCTGGGAGGCTGAGGCAGGAGGATCGCAAGTTCCAGCCCAGTCTGTGCCCACTCAGTGACTTAATGAGACCCTATCTCAAAACAAAAATGTAAAAAGGCTGGGGATGGAGCTCAATGCATAGGCCCTGGATGTAATCCTCCCAGTACCACAAATAAGTAAATAAATAAGGCAAGGTTTGTTTGAGTTCTGAAAATACCGTGAAGCCATGGTCACATCACTAGTGTGTCCCTGGCCTAGATATCCACAAAGCCATCCATCAGGCAGAAGGCGGCTCTCGAAGCAGACAATCGGCTCCGCAGACTGCGCTGCAGCAAGTTCCGTGACACAGTGAGGACTCCAGAGACCAGCTGGTGCCCTCGGGATGGTGCCCGCTTCCTGCCCCACAGACACTGAATTCCAGCAGGGCCCCTGTCCCCGCTAAACACAGCAGGCCTGGGAGAAAAGGAAGGCTCTGCCGAGACAGGACAGAATAGAATACTGGGCTGGACAGGACGTGGTATAGTCCTGCAGCATGGAGAGCCTCAGCCTCTTCCCCTCACAAAGCCCGAGCTGTGGTTCCAGGCCTGACCTCAGCTTCCCTCTGCCACATCCAGTTCACCCTACATCCCAAGTTCCCCTCCACACTGCAAAGACAGTGGAGATCCTCAGTTCCAGAAATCAGAAGGGGCCCCAGCCCTTCTTTTCCCAGTGTTGGGATGAAACCCAGGGCCTTTGCACATACTAGGCAAGGACTCATCACTGAGTAGCACCTCCAGCCCTCTTATCTTTTTGTTTTGATTTTTTTCCCCCAATCTGCTAAGTAAACTCCAGCTAGGCATGACGGTGGACATATATAATCCTGTCCTCAGGAGGCTGAGGCAGGAGGACTGCTAAGAGTTCAAGGCTGGCTTGGGTTACATAGCAAGACCAGTCTCAACAAACAAAACCCCAGACTTTACTTTGAGACACAAGTTGTTCCCCTAATATATTTACAGCCCCAGCACCCCACCCAAGATCCAATGGCATTTATTGTGCCTCCTTGGGCCCCTCTAGGCTAATGACAGAGCCCCCCCAGACATTCCCTACAGGGCTGTGGTCTGACCAGATGTCTTGCACAGCACCCCAATCCTATCTGCTGGGGTCTGGTTCCCTGCATTTACACTGGGTGCACACGTTTCTTCCAGCACAGTGTGGCTTAAAACCATAGAACTGCTGGGCACAGTGGCACACGCCCGTCATTCCAAGAGGCTGAGGCAGGAAGATCACAAGTTTGAGGATAGCCTGGGCAACTTAGGGAAACACTGTCTCAAAATAAAATAAATAAAAGCTGGAGGAAGTGCTCATTACAGAGCATTTGCCTAACATATGTGGGGCCCTGGGTTAGCCCCAGCACCGCAAAAAAAGATGAAAAAAAATTTATCTGACACTTCTGGAGATGATTATCCAAGACCCAGGTCTGGGAGCAGGTGTGAAACCAGGGATTCAGGAAACCTGCAGCTTAGAACCCAAACCGGCCCTGCCTTCTCCCTCAATCTGCACCGCCTCTTCTCTCCTAAGGACACGTGGCCCTGGATTTAGCTTCCAACTGGAGAATCCAGGATGAGCCTGTTTTGAGACCCTTAAATTAAGCACATCTGCACAGGCCGTCCCAGTGAAGACTCATTCACAGGCCCGTGTGACTGGTGTGGCTATCTTTAGGGCCTGCCATCCCACTGAGCTTTTGGGTTTCAGGCTCAGGTGCCCTTGACACATACTCTCAGGGTTACCTCATGCCCACAGGATGCTGCCAGTGATGCTGACCAGGACCTCCTGGTGAGGGAGGGTCCCCAGTTTTCCTAGGGTCAATAACCATCCTCCCCTTTCTGCTTTTTTTTTGCGGGGGGTTACTGGTGATTGAATCCAGGGCCTTTGACTAAACTACACCCCCAGCTCTTCTTACTCTTTTAATTTTGAGCCAGGTCATTGTGCAGTCACTAAACCCAGGCTGGTTTAGAACACTCGATCCTCCTGCCTCAGCCTCACAGACTGCTGGGATGACAAACGTGCAACCCCACTCCCAACTTCTGCTTTTTTTTTTTTCTATGTAGTTCAGACTGGCCTTGAACTCACTACACAGTCCAAGCTGAACTGGAACTCATGACAATTCCCCTTCCTCAGCCTCTGCATGCTGGGATAATAGGTGTGCGCCACACCTGGCTACTTCTGCTCTAACCTTGAGTCCTCAACCAGTGCCCCGTGGACAAGAGCAATGCTTCCTCAGTGTGGGATTCAGTAGGGAGCTGCCATGTTTCCCTCCCCATAGCGGCACTTGGGTCCTTGCTGCTTCCTGCCCTCACCAGGGTGAGGGACACCTG